TTCACATCCATGAACTTCAGGTACCACAATGCCATGGAGCAGCGGCCAACTTCAAAGGAGTTGGCCTACGCCTCTTGAAGCAAGGCAACGGTGCTTTCGAGCCGCGTAAATCCGTCTTAAATGACATCTATACATTTTTTAGTTGTTCTATTAGGTTCAATATATGAAAAATTGCAAGCCAGATTCGCTACGGGATTACTTCCTGATTATAGGACAACATTTAAGCAGTACAGCTCGCTAACCCGCACCGTCATTCCTCGTCCTCGCCATCACCATTCGACCACACGTCAGCCGAAATTGCGCCCCCCCCCCTCTCCCCTCCTCAGCAGAAGAGGACGACGACGACAGACGGGGGTGACACGTAAAGTCAGCCGTGCGCGACGCCCCAACAACCAGTGTCGCATGACGTACGACGTGCACTGAACCAGTTCCCGCGAAACAGTAGCAAACAACGCCTCTACAGTACGTTTTCGTCAACGGCATGGCAGCTGAACGCGAAAACAGGTTCGTTCGTTCTGCCGACGAACACCCTTACTAAACACTAAGCAGATACTGTAACAGAAGCAGGAAAGAGCCGAGTTACAGCGACAGACGTCGTTCTGAATATCACAGTATTACGGAATGTACATTAGTTACAGATGTATCGTATTTTTGGAGCAGAAATATATCTAAGTTCAAGCCATCCGCTATTCTTAGCAATGGCATGATACTGCTATGCGGCAGCTCAGAAGGAATAAGTACGTTAACTCATGTCTGTGATCATTCCTCTTTCTATCGTATGGTTTAAGGTAACCGGAAATACCGCGTAGAATGTAGAGAACCAGCACATCTAGGATATGTCTGTAATCAGACTATCACATATCAGACACCTTTCAAACGATGACTGTCACTGATTGGTTAGCGAGTCGTTAAGAAACGTAATCGATTAAACAGTCGAACTTTTGATCCTTGGAAATTAAACATAACCACTAGAACGTATTTTGCTTTGGCTCGTGATCCCGTACCACAGCCTGCGCCTTCAAAGCGCTGACCAACGCTGTGTATGGAGAAAGCCTTAGGAAAAAGAAAAACAAAATCCACAATTGCAAATGCAACATAAACAAGAAGGTCTGTAAATTAAGACCAACCTTCGTCGCATGTCCAGAAAACAAATACGAACTGGACATCACCACTGTCATTAGGAACTACTTTTCTTCTAGTGTCTCTGAAACTCGTACATTGGGTTGAGCCTTGAAACTAGCATGTCAACGACATCAAGTTTTGGTAGGAAGAAAAGCGAGTTTCAAAGTGCTAAGATTAATCAGAAGTGCCTTCGTTTCGAAACAAACAGCCAAGGCACAAAAACAATATTTACCTTACACCGTAAGGTTCAATATTTTGACTAGTTTATTTACTGGTTATACGATACCCCCCCCCCTCCACTGCTATCCTAAACGTCGGACAAACCGTGCACAATACGTGCATATTGAGTACGTCGCCTGAAAGTTATTGCGATGAAGAGGACGCAATGGTTTAAGAATATATTTGATGTTGAAAATTTGAAACGGTATCAAAGGGTATCGTATGAAAAGGGTTGGCTATGACAGAGTCGTCGTACCGTAATGCAATGGCGATAACAAAGCAGTGTTCGTCGCTCGCTCGTCGTGGCTCTTGCCACCAACTGTTTAGTAAACATTTCTTAAACTTTCAAGTTATAAATATTTAAATATTTGGTTCCCACCTTGGTCATTCACAAAAACAGCACAAAACAGTTTATTAACAGTACACAGCGCGGTATTACGGTCAACCGTAGGCCTCTCGATTCCAACCAAACTAAATGCTGCAGACGACCTAAACAAATGCCTAACCTTGTGCAATGATTTACCTCAAACAAGGCGGCCACTCCGGTGGCATATGAGATTGCGTTGTGCATTAATAAGCAGTTTTGTTGTTAAATACCGCGTTTCCTATAAAAGTCCACGTTACAAGTCTGACGAACAAGTGCTCCTCCTTAGTAACTTTGAGGATTTCAAAATTTTCTACTGAAAAACACTGGTTGCAGACCCTCGTTTCCCAACACCCTAAATCGCACCTCGTTTGAACACTGACAGACTGACTGGTCGAGAGTTCTTTCTTCTTTCGATGCATCGGTTGCATGATCGTTGTTAGTTGGTGGAGCGACTGTTAGCTTAATTCTGATAACGAACGAGGGTCTGTGGTGTGTGAGCAGTGCTGAGGTCGGAGTCGCTCGCTTTTCTTCGCTCCGAGATTGATAAACAGGCCAGCGAATAGAGACTACGGTTTTCTCATGGCTGCTGTCGATTCTTCATTTAAAAATACGGCACTCGTGACTGATGGCACGGAAATGCAAATCAGCGTCCCCCACAACTGACTTCATAAAAAAAAACAAGGGTGCCAGAATTAGCCCCATCGCTTACGTGTAGGAAAAACCGACATTTCAACGTTTACAGACTTTGCTTACTTTTTCTCTGGCCGTTTGATGCCCTGTTGTTACGGATTTATGGGATCCTTTATTGTATCTAGCATCCAGGTAGAAGAGCAGAACATGGTGTAACATTTCTCGTAGAATTCGTCACACTGATCGAACAGCTAACATCAGCCACTGAATATCCCCTGCCAGTCCATATGTAGGCATTTGGTTATTTCTCCCTTTTCATTCTCGTTTTCACAATTACAAAGAGAGACGGAGGCGAACAATTAAAAACCAATAACATCAATCAACTTTCTGAAGAAGGTCTGTTAGATATAAGTCAAAACGTCGTCAATTTCGGTTCATCGTCCCATTCGTTTTCATTCATCCATCTTCAACATAAGCTATTCGAGAGGACAGAAGCTTCGGGAGGTTTCTCCGATGGTTCCGGTCTTCCACAAATCAGAGCCAAGCGTTCCAAGATGCCGGCGATGCGAGGTGCTCGATACGATAGTGTCATCTCTTTCCAGGTCTACACTTGGCCATTAACCACATAACTTTACGGTATACGCCTGACTGTATTTCGCATGTTTTTATATTTTTACGTTTTTAAGTATGTTTTTACTTGCGTAATACTTACTAAATCTCATTGTTACTATTTTGGTTTCGTAAGTGTACATCTGACCCTCTGGGCTCGGGAAGATTCGACCCTGATGAGTTATGGTAACATCTTCCAAGTAAAACCATCGTCCTCATTCTCGGAGGCTGCACTGCCGCCTGCGAAGGCAGCATGGTTACGGATCAGAGTGGATACAGTTTATTTTGGTACAACTGTAGATCGCTCGCTTCTAGCATAAGCAAGGCGCCAAACGGAAGAACGTTAATAAAATCAAGTTTGAATGATCGATAAGAGCTACTAGGCCATAATACAGTAACACATGGAAATAAACTTCTCCGCAGTGTAAATGCCTATAAAAAGTTCATCTGCTGTTCTAGCTTAGTTATTAAATTACCCAGTGGGAATCGAGAGAAAAATTTTTTTATACTTTGAAAATTCTTCTGCCATGCATGCAAACATAAATTACAACTTTCCACGGCTATTCGCTAATTATGATTATAATAACATTTTAACCAAGACTGGAGTACAGTAAGTCGTGAACAATAATGGAAGTTGTAATTTAAAATATATTACAGTACAATTCCGGTAAAACGCTCGTATTAAGCCGTGAATTCAGGTTACCGCAGGTCTAGGTATGCCCCTCTGGACAAAAAAAACGATTCAACCTATTCTGCTAAACAGAATAAACAAGCTCGGTACAAATTTTGCCACTGCACTAAATCATGGCACCTTGGTGGACCTTGCCCATGACTGGCAATGGCACCGAGACAACCATGCTGGTCTACGTATTGTCTCCAAGTCTAATTAATCACTGAGCAGCGCTTGAGCTGGAGACCCCTAAACGATCGAATTATAATTAATGTAAAGAAACATGAATTTATTTCTGCTGAAAAACCGAGGGTCTGGAAGTGGTGAGTGAACCCGCTCCGGTAGGTAGACGCAATAATAATCGTCGCAAGTTCAAAACCTCATAAAATGACCACTTTTCTGAATCCGCCGGGATAACTTAAGGTTGGGGAGACGCTGGCAATGGTGCACGAGGGTTGGCACGTCAAATGAACAATCAAATAACCACTCGCCAAGACAAGCTCAAAGAAAGAGAAGACCGAGGCAGTATCTACTTCAGTTCGTGGAGTGTTCACAATAACAATGGCAAGTCGGATGAAGGAAAAAACTATGCATTTATATGAGAATGCGATATTAGCGTTATTTTAATTGCTATTAAATCTACCACAAAGCATATATTTTGTAGCATGAGGAATTTTTTATATTGCCCAAAAAATTCCCAGAATACCGCCGGTTGCCTTGTATAACCGTAAAAATAAAATACACAAACACTGCCAATGCCAAATGCTGGTTATCTTCTGCCTCGTGAAATCAGCGTCAGGTTACGAGATATTGACTATTTATTTAATTCAGTTATGTCAATCAGGCTAGATTGGGAACGTACGAATTCACAGTCGAAAACGCCAACAGCCACCTTGGACATTTTCTACACGCCTCTCTGTAGGTTGAGAATTAGCCTCAAAGTAAAGTCAAAAAAAATTACACGCGCAAATTCGGAGGAAGGACACCATCGAATAGGAGGTAAGACTTAATAAGGTAATAAAATTTGTATCGCACCAAAGTCAGCCAAGGCAACTTCGGAGGAAGACCCTCGGTACACGGCGGCAGTCGCAGTGCCAGACGCAGAAGTAGACGTTAAGAGGAAGCGCCATAAGAATGCGTACTGATGTGTGCTCCAGATCTGTCACTGAGGCAAAGTGAAGTGAAGGACGTCGCGCGTGTCGCACGCCGGATGCTCACTGCTTCGCTTCGGTATACGTCGTTGAAAACGATCAACCTACTGTGGAAACCGAAGATCATGAGGCACGACGAAGAGGTGCCGTGAGGCAAGCAGTTAGCGTGAGCGATGACGACGTGTCGGGGTACGGAAGCGTGAGGAAGAAGAAGGAGTACTGGGAAGAAGCAGGGAGTACCGACTGTCGTTCAGCCACTTACCTGAGGCGAGCTTGCCAATCAGTCGGTGTGGCAGGTAAGCTGGCAAGGAAGCGACCGGTTCTGACGGGTACACCTGGCGGGCGGGTGGCGCTGTGACAAGTCGTCGAGTCGGGCACGATCGAGAAGACCAAATGTCGCCCGACTCAGCTCGCAGCCAGAGGAGGCAAACGAAACGTGCCGGGACGGGAGCACCTGCCGACGGCTTGTCTTACGAGAGTCAATTGTCGACGACTCAGAATGTCTGGGACCTCAGACGGCAGCCCATAATCCTAGAATTAACGCCGCTGCCGCGGCAGCCGTGTGCCAATGCCACCTGCGAAGGGGGACAGTTGTGGTGGCAAGTCGAACTAGAAGCGTCATCGAGCAACACCCATCCGGCAACGCCGGCCAGCCAACATCAAGGATTACACACAAATTGTCAAAATGAAAAAAGGAACAAAATTTTTAAAAAAACTAATTAATCTAATTTGCCAGCTCGCTCTCAGGCGATCGACGCAGAAACGGATCCATCGATACTTAATCTTAGTCTGAGGAAAATTCTACGAAGCCATCAGCTTCGCGATCGGCAAATCACTGACGTTAGAATGAACACCTTCACATGTATGTCATTTCACACGACAGTCTTTTCACAGACTGCAGCAGAGCGGCTGAACATTGTCTTTGCAAAGCAATGCCACAGACAAAT